CGTGTGAGGATTAACAAAACAAAAGACCAGGGAGGAAGCCGAGACACAGAAAAGCAGATGTGAGGAAGAGAGTAATGTCAACAGATGATCGTTGGCACCGATTCAACACCAACAGGAATCCCCAATTTGGGGTGCGGTGACAAAGGAAATTTTATTCAGCGCAAAACAGCTCAACTGTCACACAGCGAGGCAGCCTGGGGCCAGGCCCCTCTACCCCGCGCTCTGGGGGACCTGCCTCTGCGTTATGGTCAGTGTTTCAGCTCAGCCAGGGCAACAGTCTTCAGTCTTAGGTGGAAAGGGAAACTGCTCCCGGAGCCCGCGGGGAGCTGGCTTACATAGAAGTTCCCAACCCTGGTCCCTGAGTAGTTTCTCCTCATGCAAATGAGGACTCCAAATCCTTGCAGTTCGATTGGTCCAAAAAACACAGTCCTGATTGGTCAGAATAGAGTTGCTCTGGCTGGTCCAGCTGCACAGCTCCCGATTGAATGGGGAAAGCCTCCATCCTATTGGTTGAAATAGGATTCCCGGGACTGCTTTAGGGATCACAGGGCAGAAGCGCGGTGCAGGCAGGCAGTTCAGTGCAGAGCCAGGTAGCCCAATGCAGTTTTCTCCCTGAAGTGCAATTTACATAAGAGGCCTCTGTGTGGACATGGCTGGTTAGGCTGTTTTCTGTTTGTTTTAATTTGAGCCCAGTTAGCCACCAGGAGTCCTTCTTAGGTGTCTTCTTTCTCAGGGTTCACAGTAGCAATCCCCATCATTCCCCACCCAAGTGTGGCCCGTCAGCCCCAGCGTACATCCTCCCGGGCCTTCGCTGCCTGTGTGTTTATACACATTGTAGACTAGTCGGGGTCATATTGTGCCCTTTCCCCATTTAACAGTTCTCTGGGACAGATCCTAAGTGTTTCCCCAGATCATTAAAAATCCTTCCAAAAGCTGATCTTTCCTAAGTGGTAGTGAAATACCCTAAGTGTGGACACCCCACTTGTCAAAGCTCATTTCTTATTGTCCTACATTTGGACTATTTCTCTTTCTGATCTTCCAGATAGCACAGTGGCAGGCATCGTTGCGTACAGCGAGGAATCTCTGTCCACATTTCAAATTCCTATTTTTTAAAAAAGTTTTCTCCGCGATAGAAAAGTTGGAGACCCTGGGAAAAGTCATAGGGAGAAAGCAGCCCCTGGGGTCCCCACAGAGACCTTGGGCAGGGGCAGGCTGATGAGCCCGTGCGGACCTGTTTGTCCATAAAGCATCAGAACATAAACAAGTCCGTTATGTTCTACCCCTGGGTTAGCGGCCAGAGTCTCCCTCCTTGGAGTGGCCGGGGCTGCCCGAGTCCATGACCGCATTTCCTTCCATTCTACACGGCGCTCTGCGGGACCTGCCTCTGCATTATGCTTTCCCCAAGTTTCCGGCCATTCCCTTAGGGCACGTCCCCAAGAGTGCAATCAGTGGGCCAAAAGGTAAAGTCTTTGTGAGGGGTCTTTGGCTCAGATTGCAAGTTTCCATGCTTTTTTTTTTTTTTTAAGCCAGTTTTGTTTTTTTCCTAACATTGTTTTCATAGCAAACACTGATCTGGACTTACTCTGTGCCAGGCCCCGTTCCAAGCGCTTTCAGATGCAGACTCACTTAGTCCTTGTGATAAACCAGTGAGGTGGGTAACATCATGATGTCCATTTTTCCGAATAGGACCCCTGAAGCACAGAGGGTGAGTAACCTTCACAAGGTCACACAGCTGATAAGCAACTGAGCTGGGATTTGAAATCAGGACGCTGGATCCCAAATCCCAGCTCTTAACAATTCCAGGCTGCCGCCTACAGATGACCTCCGTCCTCTGAAAGAGGCAAGTCGCCCTCATTCTGCGGCAGATGACCCAGTTAGTGGGTAGACCTTTCGATTTGTTCTATATCAGTTCCAGGCTGCCGCCTACAGATGACCTCCGTCCTCTGAGTCAAGTCGCCCTCATTCTGCGGCAGATGACCCAGCTGGTGGGTAGATCTTTCCATTTGTTCTATATCACAGGGGCAGGTCCAGGTCTTGTGGTGCCTGAAGCTTTCCAGTTTGGGGAACCCCTTTAGGTAAAGTTACACATTAAAGAAGAGATGTAGGGCCTTGGAAGGAACCAGCGCAGATAAATGGCCAAAACAAGCTCCCTTGGCATCTCGCTCCAGCCCGGGTACCTGTCTCCCAGAATTATTAGGAATATTTTCACACAGTCAAGCTTTCCGTGTACCTTGCTACTGCTACTGAGACCCTTTCACTCACATTTCACTGTGCTCTGGTTTTGTTTTTAGAAAGTATTTTTATTGATTTTAGAGGAGAGGAGAGAAACATCAATAATGAGAATCATCAATTGGCCACCTCCTACATTCCTCCCACTGGGGATCAAGCCCACAACCCGGGCATGTGCCCTGACCGGGAATCGAACTGTGACCCTCGGTTCATAAGTCGACGCTCAACCACTGAGCCACGCCGGTTTCTGCTGCATCCGCCCATTCATCCCGATTGTTTAAGGCACTTCCAAGGAAGGCACAGGCGTCAGCTCAGCTTGCAAATCGTTTAACTAGAGTTCAGCATCCCCAAGTTTTTCCTTGTGCGGGAAAATTCAGATGTGGAATGTTTAACTGACGTGCAGTAAAGCACGCACATGCCTTTGCCACAGAACCGGCTGTGCGCACAGGCGAACGGGCACATTTCCTCAGGCCGTAAAACAGCCTGAATTTCCTGCGGACCCTGCCTCCTGTCCAGGCTGCAGGATTTGCCTTTGAGCAGCTGTGGCCACCTCGCCCCGTCCATGAAGTCGGCGGATGCGCTGATGGCTACCTCTGGACATTAAGGGTTTCCTCCCTTCTCCCAGCAGGTTCCTCAGATTCATTCCCCAGGATGTTTACTGGGTCACAGGCCAGGGCTTAAGGCTTTTTTTAAAAAAATCTTTATTGTTATAGAGTTTTACATAGGTTGCTTACGGCTCTTTAGCAGGCACCTGGAAGCTTTCATTTTCATCTCAGCCTACCATCCTACCTCTCCCCCACCCAAACTGCCCCCCACCCAGCTGTTTTGTCTGTACAACATTTGCCCTTTTATTTTTAAGACAGGAGAGGAGAGGGGAACAGTTCCTTAGTCATGATGTTTTACAGGATGTTGAGGGAGCGGGTGGGGGTGGCTCTGACATCTCCCCCTTCACCAATTTCTTTTCTAAATTGCTTGCTCTATTTTCATAAGTACCTTGTCCTGGAAAAACCTTTCCAAGCGGACGCAATAAAAAATAGAGCATGTTTAACAGAAAACTAAAAATACTGAACACTTGTCTCTTACAAAAGATACCCTAGACTAGCGGTTCTCAACCTGTGGGCCGCGACCCCTTTGGCGGTCAAACAACCCTTTCACAGGGGTCACCTAAGACCATCCTGCATATCAAATATTTACATTATGATTCATAACAGTAGCAACATTACAGTGATGAAGTAGCAACGAAAATAATTTTATGGTTGGGTCACAACATGAGGAACTGTATTTAAAGGGCCAGAAGGTTGAGAACCACTGCCCTAGACAAAGTCAAAAGGAATAATAGCCCGGAAGAAATGTTTGGAATATGTGTGACTTCAGACCTGTAATAAATAAAGAGCCATTACAAATAAACAAGAAAATAACAAACGGCCTAGAAAGAAAACGGTCAATAGGTCTGAACTTGCGCAGAAGAGGACACTGCCAGTGGTCCTACAGAGATGCTTGACCCCGTGGGCAACCAGGCACAACAAGGTAAACAGCAAAATCACATGGTAGCGAAGCCACGAGGAAACCAGGGGGCTCTATGCTGGAGGGTAACAGTCAGCACAGCTACACAGAACAACTTGGCCAACTCGTCAACGAGCCCTTAGATACACTTCCCTTCAGCCCAGGGACTCACTCCAGGCTGGTCCTACAGACACGCGACAGGGCACGTGCAGCTATTCATTCCAGCGCCATGAGGGCGATATGGGCGTCTGAGTGGAACGGGACACGCTCTCTAGAGGAAGTGCATGAGCTGTGACAGTGAGGAAGCGCCTTGTAGACCCCGCTGGTTCTCTACCGTGCACCTCAAGGCAAGTTAGAAACCACGCACGGTAGGATTCTACCCAAGAAAAATAAAAAATATTTTATTTTCACACGGACAGTACGTTTTCTAACAGTGGCACCTGGGACATATGGCACCCTTCACCCCAACCGCAGTGGCAGCCAGCTCTGCGAGAGGGTTGAATGGAGGAGGTCACGATGACGGCCACGGGTTTTGGTATCTTCATGCACCGCACCCATGACTGACAGTGACAACAGTCCCTTATTGCTTGTAGAATTAAGGTTTCGAAAAATATTACCTAGGTGTGTGGGGGAAGGAAAAGTCCCCCTTTCCACGCTTCTGTTCCCTCGCCTGTAAAATGGGTAAGTCTGGCGTCCTTCACCGGGTGGGCGTGAGGGCTCTGCGTGAGAGCCACCCCCACTGTGACAGCCTGTCATCAAGACCCGCCCTCACGCCTGGGCCACAGCAGGGGGCTACCCAAAGCCAGACACCCAGGTGTGGACCTCCCCTCCCCACCAGCCTGCCAGCGCGTCTCCTCTCAGATCCTCCTCATGGGAAAGGGTGGCCCACTTTGTCCCCAAGGGACAGGCCCTCTGCTACGTCCAGGGTTCTCACTAGGGTTGGAGGACATGAAGGTTCTGGAACCTACATCCCTGTGAGCTAGAGGGGGACGGACAGGGAAGCTGCCCACAGCAGGGGGAGTAACACACAAGCCCAGGTGTTGGTCCGAAGGTGCTTTATTGAAGGATGAGGCTCCGCATCGACCATCAGCTACAACCTGGGGACAGAGGAGGGGGCTGAGGGTGGACGAGGGCAGTGGGGGCTCCATGTTCTCACCCAGTTGACACCCCCCTCTGGTTTGGCTCTTCTGCATCTGGTGCACAGTTACCAGGTTTGGGACAGGCCTGGGGACCCCGTGGATGCCACAGGAAGGAGAAGGGGGTGTCACTCACTGGATCTCCCGGAACGCCCGCTTCTCCACAAGCTTCACTTTGTACTTGCGCTTGAACCTGGAGAAAAAAGGAGAGAGCAGTCGGTGACGCACGCCCACCAAACAAGGGGGGGGTTGTCCCCAAGCAGCCTCTGAGGCCCCCCTCCAGGCAGTCTCCAAGCCCCCCCCACCCCCCCATCCCCCAGGCAGCGGCCCTCACTTGGCTCTCTCCCGGGGCTCGATCATGTTTCTCTTCTGGAAGCTCTTGAACCGGTCACGGAGGATGTTGCCCTCGGGCTGCGGGACAGAGGAGGTGTCACTGGGCGCCTGGCAGAACCCCAGGCCTCTGACCTCTCCGAGGGTCCAGCCAGAGCTCAGGGGGGGCTCACTACAGCTTTCCCATCAGCAGAGCCTCGGGCACCAGGGCTCAACTGGCCCTGAGCTCGCGGGGTGACGGTACTGACCTCCTGCTGCCTGAGCTGGGTTTGCAGAATCACCGGAAAGAGGCCGGTGAGGTGGAAGGGGGAGCACAGGCAGAGGGAACGGCCAGGCCAGGGGTCAGGGGTCAAAGAGGGGCACAGCAGGCCCACTGAGGCAGCACAGGGCTGCAGGCTGAGGCCAGACCTCGCAGGCCAGTGGCCAGGTGAGACACAGGGCTCCCTCTGGGGCACTGGGGAGCCATGGAGGTTCCAAGTGGGGGAGGAACATGGTCCGTTCTGAGCTTTAGGGTGACCCTCTGGGACAGGAGAGGACAAGGGCAGCAGACCAGGGGCTGTGACGGGGCCTGGCTGGGATGAAAGGCCTCTGAAACCCTCACGTCAGCTGCCCCGCACCCCTGGGGACCGCAATCTCACCCGTGCCCTCAGCCCCCAGGCATCAGCCCCACTGGCCCAGCCTGGGGGCAGCCAGAGTGTCGCCCACAGCCCCGGTGGGGCACGGGGAGCAAGGATGGTGTCATCACCGGGCACGGGCTCTCGCTCACAGACCTCAGCACCCCCAGCTGGGCAAGTACCTTCAGGGTCCGGAGCGAGTCGGCCAGCTCCGAGCTGAGCTGCACGTCGATGTCGGGGGCCTGGTACCTGGAGAGCAGGGCAGGGCGTTCAGGGGCCAGGACCAGGCAGAGTCCAAAGACCCCTCTTGGGAGAGTGGGCTGGGCAGTGGCCTCTGAGGACACGGGGCTTCGGGGGTAGACATGGTCCTGCAGGAGGGCCAGGCTGAGCACAGGCAGGGCACTGGGATGGGGATCAGGACCCCTACCGGCCTCCTCCAGGGTCCCCCAGCCCGGGCCTCACTTGAGCCGCCCC